TAGTAACTGCTTATAACAGTTCTCTGAACTTCCTCCTAGTAAGTGGTAAGGGCGGCAGGAATCCCGATGGCCAATGGCAGGCATTTGTATACTGCACAGGTGAGTTGTTGAAGGTGGATCACATTTACGTTGGAACAACTGTCCTGATGTTTCCAGCTCCACTCCACTGCCCCCACAAATGCCATGTCTGGGACCAGCTTTGAGCATACCAGTGAACAGTGAGCTGTCATGTTGGCAAACTCCTCTGCTTTCCAGAAGCCCCTTCTAATGTCATTGATCTGCGTCATTCTGGCAGTTTCTCCCACCTGGTCCTCTCTCTTTCCTGCTTACCCATAACAAAGCCTCTTCACCTATCTGCAATTCCATTTAACCTTCTTTACTTTCTCTCCTGAACTATTAGAGATAGTCATGAATCCCTGCTAGCTGGAGCTCTGGAAAGAAGCTGATAAGCAGTTCCCTAACAATCTATTAATAACTGACAATGATTGTGTATATTATTTGCCTAGGATACTTCACATTTCCTAAAAAAAAGTGGGGGGGGAAGTATCCTAGGGAAATAATCTATTACTCATTAATTCACAAAAGTACTGAAAGGCCTACCATGTGGTAAGTCTTCTTCTAGGCATTGATTTAGTCAAGGTTCCTGCTTACCTTCTAGTGGGAGAGACAGTACACAAGCAAGACCATTTGTGATAGTAGTCAGTTCTATTAAGAAAATAAAGAAGATGATATAGAATAATTAGTTGAGCTAGGGTAAGTAAGGAGGACTTCACTGAGGAGGTGACATTTGAGTCTTCCCCTGAATCAAGCAGAGCAAGATCTGGGAAAAGAGTTCCAGGCAGAGGGAAGGGCAAGTGTAGAGTTCCTGAGGTGGGAACAGCTTGGATAGGAAAGGAAAGGAGGTGAGGGTGGCTGTGGTGTGATGAGGAAGGATAGTGGAGGGGACAAGCCCGGGGACGTGGGCTGCAGTCAAGCCATGTAGTGCTTTTTAGGCCCTGATAAGAAGTCTGAGTTTTATAAGTGAGATGGGAAATCTTTGGAGGGTTTTGGAAGGGGATGGACATTCAATTTAATTATTAAAAGGCTAGGCTCTAACTTAATAGAATGTTCCTGTACCTGTGGAGGACCTTTCAAGCCAGGAGAGGAAGAACTAAGTGTATTGAGAAGCAGCTTCAGGACATCTGGATTGCAGTTCTAACTACCCAAAACAACTTGCCGCTTTCAGACTTTCACACGGAATGTGAGGAGGCTGTACCTCTTAGTGCCCACAGTCCTTTCCCCATCATAACACACAGAAAGTGATTTTTATACTGCACCCCTGGAAGTCAGGCTTCTAGAGTCTTCCCCAAGGGCTGGGGCACACCCATGACACACAGGGAGGGAACTTCTAGACTAGGTGACTTCTGAGGTCTCTCTTGGTTCTAGTAGTGTAAGATCTCATAATATTTCCTTGTGATGTCCCTCAGTTCATACCACACAGGAGGTTGTCTATTCTAACTAAAGAGCAGTACCGACCTAGGTGATAACATGTGGACTGTTTCACATATCCCAAGCATCAAACCTCAAATTCTAAATAAGCATTGTCATCTGGTACTTTCTGCTGCTGACCATACACATTTTTCTCAATCCTCCTTTTCTGCCACTTGAGTGATCAAGTCCTTCCTGAAGTGGCCTGCCCAACTTAAAGCTGGTGACGCTTCAGAATGTTTTGTCTTTCAGATTTACAAAATTAGATTTCAAACCAAGTGGCAAGATAATCCATCACAATGACTTATTAAGGCCAAAGTGTTTTTTATGCCCTTTCCCCTTTCTCATAGTTAGAAAAAAATTCTTATTGTCTAAAAAGCTAGAGTCATACTCTGATGTAATAGGTAAAACATGGAGACAGGAGGTATCTGCATCAGTGGATCGAAAATCACTACAACAATGAAAGGTAGATGTATAAAGATAGCAACAGTTATCCTCTAGCCATAAAACATGTCCTTTGATTTATGCATTCAATCACGCAGATGCCTTTGAATGTATCCCCCCCCCATTTTTCTATCCTACCCTAGTATATACAAACGGATTGAACTCTACGTTGCTCACATTTATTGTACTTTAAACATACTTTGTTTCATGATTTACACCTCCCACACTCACTTTTGCTTCTCACCCTATCATGAACTCAGTTCTTTAAGTTCTTGGATACATGTGCAAAACGTGTAGGTTTGTTACATAGGTATATGTGTGCCATGGTGGTTTGCTGCACCTATTGACCTGTCCTCTAAGTTTCTTCCCCTGTCTCCTAACCCACCAATAGGGCCTGGTATGTGTTGTTCCCCTCTCTCTGTCCATGTGTTCTCATGGTTCCGCTCCCACTTATGAGAGAGAACATGAGGTGTTTGGTTTTTTGTTCCTGTGTTAGCTTGCTGAGGATAATGGCTTCCAGCATCATCCATGTCCCTGCAAAGGACATGGTCTCATTCCTTTTTTATGGCTGCATAGTATTGTGTGGTGTATATGTACCACATTTTCTTTAGTTTTCTTTATCCAGCCTATCACTGATGAACATTTGGATTGGTTCAATGACATTGCTATTGCAAATAGTGCTGCAATAAGCATATGTGTGCTTTATAGTAGAATGATTCTACTATAAATATAAGAATATACATATTTTTAATACATATATCTACATAAAGAATATTTACAAAATAAAGAGTAGACTATTTTACTCTTTATAGTAGAATGATTTATATTCCTTTGGGTATATTATATACGTAGTAATTGGATTGCTGGGTCAAATGGTATTTCTGGTTCTAGATCCTTGAGGAATTGCCATATTGCCTTCCATAAATGTTGAACTAATTTACACTTCCACCAACAGTATAAAAGTGTTTCTATTTCTCCACAGCCTTGCTGGCATCTATTGTTTCTTGACTTTTTAATAATTGCCATTCTGACCAGTGTGAGATGATACCTCATTGGTGTTTTTATTTGCATTTCTCTAATGATCAGTAATATTGCACTTTTTTTCACATGTTTGTTGGCCGCATAAATGTCTTATTTTGAGAAGTGTCTGTTCATATCTTTTGCCTACTTGTTGACGGAGTTATTTTTTTTTTCTCGTAAATTTGCTTAAGTTCCTTGTAAATTGTGAATATTAGACCTCTGTCAGATGGGTAGATTGCAAAGATTTTCTCCCACTCTGGTTGCCTGTTCACTTTAATGATAGTTTCTTTTGCTGTGCAGAAGCTCTTTAATCAGATCCTGTCTGTCAATTTTGGTTTTTGTTGCAATTGCTTTTGGTGTTTTAATCATAAACTGCTTGCCCATGCCTATGTCCTGAATGGTATTTCCTAGGTTTTCTTCTAGGGTTTTTATGGTTTTGGTTTTACATTTAAACCTTTAATCCATCCTGAGTTAATTTTTGTATAAGGTGTAAGGGAGGGGTCCAGTTTCAGTTTTCCGCAAATGGATAGTCAGTTTTCCCAGCACCACTTATTGAATAAGAGGTCTTTTCCCCATTCCTTGTTTTTGTCAGGTTTGTTGACAATCAGACAGTTTTAGTTGTGTGGAGTTATTTCTGAGGTCTGTGCTCTGTTCCATTGGTCTATATGTCTGTTTTGGTACCAGTACCATGCTGTTTTGGTTACTGTAGCCTTGTAGTATAAAGTCAAGTTGCATGATGCCTCTAGTTTTGGTCCTTTTGCTTAGGATTGTCTTGGCTATACTGGGTCTTTTTTGATTCCATATGAAATGTAAAATAGTTTTTTCTAATTCTGTGGAGAATGTCAGTGGTAGTTTGGGAATAATATTGAATCTATAAATTAGTTTGGAGAGTATGGCCATTTTCACAATATTGATTCTTCCTATCCATGATGATGAAATGTTTTTGCATTTGTTTGTGCCGTATCATTTCCTTGAGCAGTGGTTTGTCGTTCTTTTAGAAGATGTCCTTCACATCCCTTGTTAGCTGTATTCCTAGGTATTTTATTATTTTTGTAGCAATTGTGAATGGGAGTTCATTCATGATTTGGCTCTCTGCTTGTCTGTTGTTGGTGTAAAGGAATGCTTGTGAATTTTGCACATTGATTTTTGTATCCTTAGACTTTGCTGAAGTTTCTTATCAGCCTAAGGAGTTTTGAGGCTGAGATGATGATATTTTCTAAATATAGAATCATGTCATCTGCAAACAGACAATTTGACTTCCTCTCTTCCTGTTCAAATAGGCTTTATTTCTTTCTCTTGCCTGATTGCCCTGGCCAGAACTTCCAATACTATGTCAAATAGGAGTGGTGAGAGGGGGCTTCTTTGTCTTGTGCTGGTTTTCAAAGGGAATGCTTCTGCTTTTGCCCATTCAATATGATATTGGTTGTGAGTTTGTCATAAATAGCTCTTATTTTGAGATACATTCCAGCAATACCTAGTTTATAGAGAGTTTTTAGCATGAAGGAGTACTGAATTTTATGAAAGGCCTTTTCTGCATCTATTGAGATAATCATGTGGTTTTTGTCTTTAGTTCTGTTTATTTGATAGATTATGTTTATTGATTTGTGTATGTTGAATCAGCCTTGCATCCCAGGGATGAAGCTGACTTGATCACGGTAAATGAGCTTTTTGATGTGCTGCTGGATTCAGTTTGTCAGTATTTTATTGAGGCTTTTCACATCGATGTTCACAGGGATATTGGCCTGAAGTTTCCTTTTTTCATTTTGTCTCTCCCAGTGCCAGGTTTTGGTATCAGGATGATGCTGACTTCATAAAATGAGTTAGAGAGGTGTTCCTCCTCTTCAATTGTTTGAAATAGTTTCAGAAGGAATGGTACCAGCTCCTCTTTATGTCTCTGGTAGAATTCGACTCTGGATCTGTCTGGTCCTGGGCTTTTTTTTTTTTTTTTCCCCCGTTGGTAGACTATTAATTACGACCTCAATTTCAGAGCTTGTTATTGATCTATTCAGGGATTTGACTTTTCCTGGTTTAGTCTTAGGAGGGTGTGTGTGTCCAGGAATTTGTCCATTTCTCCTAGATTTTCTAGTTCATCTGCATAAAGGTGTTTATAGTGTTCTCTGATGGGATTTTTAATTTCTATGGGGTCAGTGGGGATATACCCTATGTCATTTTTTACTGTGTCTACTGGATTCTCCTCTCTTTTCATCTTTATTAGTCTGGCTAGTGGTCTATTTTGTTAATTGTTTTGAAAAACCAGCTGCTGGATTCATTGAAGGGTGAATTTTTGGGGAGTGTGTGTGTGTGTGTGTGTGTGTGTGTGTCTATTGCCTTCAATTCTGCTCTGATCTTAGCTATTTCTTGTCTTCCACTAGCTTTTGCATTTGTTTGCTCTTGCTTCCCTACTCTTTTAAGTTTTTTGTTTTTTGTTTTTTTTTTTAATTTTAGTTCTGGGATCCATGTACAGAATGTGCCGGTTTGTTACATAAGCATACATGTACCATGATGGTTTGCTGCAACTATCAACCTGTCTCTAGGTTTTAAGCCCTGTATGCATTAGGTATTTGTCCTAATGCTTTCCCTCCCCTTACCCTCCATCCCCCAACAGGCCTAAATGTGTGATGTTCCCCTTCCTGTGTCCATGTGTTCTCATTGTTCAACTCCCACTTATTAGTGAGAATATGCAATGTTTGGTTTTCTGTTCCTGTGTTAGTTTGCTAATAATGATGACTTTCAGCTCCATCCATGCCCCTGCAAAGGACATGAACTCATTTTCTTATAGCTTTTTAAATTGTGATGTTAGGATGTCAGTATGAGATCTTCTAGCTTTCTGATGTGGGCATTTAGTGCTATAAACTCTCCCCTTAACACTGCTTTAGCTGTGTCCCAGATACTCTGGTACATTGCCTCTTTGTTCTCATTGGTTTGAAAGAACTTGATTTCTACCTTAATTTCATTATTTATCCAGGAGTTATTCAGGAGCAGGTTGTTCAATTTCCATGTAGTTATGTGGTTTTGAGTGAATTTCTTAATCCTGAGCTCTAATTTGATTGCACTGTGGTCTGAGAGACTGTTATGATGTTAGTTCTTTTGTGTTTGCTGAGAAGTGTTTTACTTACAATTATGTGGTCAATTTTAGAACAAGTGGAATGTGGCACTGAGAAGAATGTATATTCTGTTGATTTGGAGTGGAGAGTTCTTTTAGGTCCACTTGATTCAGAACTGAGTTCAAGTCCTGACTATCCTTGTTAATTTTCTGTCTTGTTGATCTGTCTAATATTGACAGTGGGGTGTTAAACTCTACCACTATTATTGTGTGGGAATGTAAGTTTCTTTGTAGATCTCTAAGAACTTATTTTATGAATCTGTGTGCTCCTGTACTGGGTGCGTACATATTTAGGATAATTAGCCCTTTTTGTTGAATTGATACCTTTACCATTATGGTATCTTTACCATTGAAAAGATCCCTTTACAATGACCTTCTTTGTGTTTTTTGATATCTGTTGGTATAAAGTCAGTTTTATCAGAGACTAGCATGGCAATCTCTACTTTTCTGTTTTTGTTTTTTTTTTTCTTTGCTTTCCATTTGCTAGGTACATTTTCCTCCATCCCTTTATTTTGAGCCTATGTGTATCATTGCATGTGAGATCAGTCTCCTGAATACAGCACACTGATGGGTCTTGACTCTTTATCCAATTTGCCAGTCTATGTCTTTCAATTGGGACATTTAGCCAGTTTACATTTAAGGTTAGTATTGTTATGTGTGAATTTGATCCTGTCATCATGATGCTATCTGGTAATTTTAACACTACTTAACTAGTTTATACAGTTTCTTCATCGTATCATTGGTCTTTATATTGTGGTGTCTTTTTGCAGGGGCTGGTACTGATTTTTCTTTTCCATATTTAATGCTTCCTTCAGGATCTTTTGTGAGGCAAGCCTGGTGGTGATTAAATCCCTCAGCATTTGTCTGGAAAGGATTCTATTTCTCCTTTGTTTATGAAGTTTAGTTTTGCTGGATAGGAAAATTCTTTAAGAACAATAAATACTGGCCTCCAGTCTCTTGTGGCTTGTAGGATTTCTGCTGAGAGGTCCACTGTTAGTCTGATGGGCTTCCTTTGTGAGTGACCTGCCCTTTCTCTCTGGCTGCCCTTAATATTTTTTCCTTCATTTTGACCTTGGAGAATATGAGGATTATGTGTCACGGGGTTGATCTTCTCATGAAATATCTTGGTGGTGGTCCTGGTATTTCCCAAATTTGCATGTTGGCCTGTCTTGCTAGGTTGGGGAAGTTCTCTTGGATAATAACCTGAAGTTTGTTTTCCAGCTTGTTTTTATTCTCCCTCTTTCCTTCAGGTACTCCAATCAATCATAGGTTTGGTCTTTTTATGTGATCCCATATTTCTTGGGAGCTTTGTTCATTCCTTTTCATTCTTTTATTTCTATTCTTGACCGCATGCCTTATTTCAGCAAGGTGGTCTTCAAACTCTGATATCCTTTCTTCCACTCAGTCAATTCAGCTACTGATACTTGTGTATGCTTCACGAAATTTTTGTGCTGTGTTTTTCAGCTTCATTAGGTCATTTATGTTCCTATCTAAACTGGTTATTTTAGTTAGCAATTCCTGTAACCTTTTATCAAGATTTTGTAGCTTCTTTCATTGGGTTAGAACATATTCCTTTAGCTCAGTGTAGTTTTTTATTACCTATCTTCTGAAGCCTACATCTGTCAATTCATCCATCTCGTCCTCCATTCAGTTCTGTGCCCTTGCTGGAGAGCTCTTGTGATCATTTGGAGAAGAGGCACTCTGGCCTTTTGGGTTTGCAGCATTTTTTCATTGATTCTTACATTTGTGAGTTTGTCTAGTTTCCATATTTGAGGCTGCTGACCCTTGAATGGGGTTTTTGTGGGACTTTGTTGTTGATGCTGTTGTCATTGGCTTCTGTTTTTCTTTCAGTGATCAGGTCCCTCTTCTGTAGGGCTGCTGCAATTTGCTGGGGGTTCACTTCAGGCCCTATTCATCTGGTTCACCTCCCCACCCCTGCACCTGAGATGTCACTCAAGGAGGCTGGAGAATAGCAAAACTGAGTGCTTGTTCCTTCTTCTGGGATCTCTGACCTCAAGAGGCACCAAGCTGGTGCCAGTAGGATGCTCCTGTGTAGGGTGTTTGATAACCCCTGTTGGAGGGTCTCATTCAGTTGGGTGGCATGGGAAACAGGACCCATTTAACAAAGCAATTTGACTGTCCCTTGATGAAGGTGGTGTACTTTGCTGGGGGGTGGGAGAACTCACTTGTCTGGGCTGCCTGCATTCCTCAGAAATACCAGAAGGAAAGGCTAAGTCTGCTAGTCAGTAGAGACTGGAGCCACCCCTCCCCCTAGGGGCTCAGGCCCAGGGAGATCAGGGTTCTGTCCTTGAGCCTCTGACTGGAGTTGTTGGAGTTCCTGCAGGAAGACCCTACCCAGTGAGGAAGGATGGGTCAGGGTCAGGCCTGAAGAGATACTCTGGTTGCAGTCTGCCCTATCTGGTGTGTTGGGCTGTGGAGAACATCTTTTGGGACCATGCTGTCCAGCCTCCCTGGCTCCAGCAGTGGAAAAGCATTGCCTGGAGCTACAGAGATGGAGCAAGCTTAGCATATTTGGCAGTTATAAGTCCTGGTGCTGGCTGCTCAAGGAGCCCAAGGGCTTAGGCAGCTGCAGCTGTGGTGCTGGTTGCCCCTTCCCCCAGGAACTGGGCCGGCGTAAGCAGATTCTAGCTGATAGGCTGTTGAGAATCTGTGCGGCTCCAGGATTGGGACCCTAGTCCCTGGTGGGGTGGGTTTGCAAGTGGGATCTTCTTATCCATGGGTTGCACAGTTCCATGGAAAAAGTGTGATTTCCCTAGCTGGGTAGTACGTTCACTCACTGCCTCCCTTAGCTGGGAGATGCAGACTCCCCTGCCTCATGTGGCTCTCAGGTGGGCCCCCATGCCACACTGCTCTTCCTCTCTGTGTATTATGCCACCCATCTAGTCAGATCTGATGAAAGAACCCAGATACCTTGGTTGCCAGTGCAGGAGTCACATGGTGTAATGGTTTGCCCTCCCCTTTCCCTTCTCCTCTCTTCCTTTTTTTGAGATGGATTTTCACTCTTGTCACCCAGGCTGGAATATAATGGTGTGATCTCAGCTCACTGCAACCTCCGACTCCCAGGTTCAAGGAATTCTCCTGCCTCAGCCTCGCGAATAGCTGGGATTACATGCAACTGCCACCACACCCAGCTGATTTTTGTATTTTTAGTAGAGATGGGGTTTCACCATGTTGGCCAGGCTGGTCTCAAACTCCTGACCTCAGGTGATCCACCTGCCTCAGCTTCCTAAAGTGCTGGGATTACAGGTGTGAGCCACCACACCCAGCCCAATTGTTCTTTTCATTGGGAGCCTCCGATTGCTGCTGCTGCTGCTGCTTCTAGTCAGCCATCTTGCAAACTCAATTATTTGACCTCCCTAATTCCATCATCCCATCCCCCCACTCCCAACCTCACTTATTTCCCTTCTCATGCTCTATGATGTATTCATCATAATTTCTTGTGACCTTGACGTACTTTACCAGTTCTTAACCATAATTGCCCCCTAAAATCTCCAGTGTTACCACAGTCAGATAACCCAAACAACTGTGAGTTGATTGTGAAAGAATCAACCCTATGGCCACCTCTGGTTAACACTGGGCCCTACTTAACTGGTCTCAGCCTTCTCCAAAAGAGTCTGTGCTTTGTTTTCTTTTATGTTGGGGGATTTTTTTTTCTTGTTTCAGGTTGGGGCAGGATTTCCTCAATCTTCACCTCAAGAATCTGGTGAAATTCCTGAAGGTTAAATTCATAAAAGTGTGGAGAGCCACCCTAAAGTGAGGCTCCCAAAGTTTTATCTCAAGCTAGTTTACATTATATCTCCAGCAATTAATAATTACCCTTAGGTACTTAATATTCCTACCTGTCTCTAGCAGCAGCTTCTGCTCCAGGTAAGCTGCAGTTCTCTATATTCATCGGCCACTTCATTTTTGGGGATCTATTTAATAGTTGGCTTTGTGACCTTAATTCTCTGATGGATCTAAAAATAATTATTGGTTTTCAGTTTCTTTGTTGTGAGGACAGGAGTTACAATTTCCAAGCTCCTTGCACATCAAACTGGCAACTGTGGGCTTCTTAGTCATATTCAAGACCTTTGTGATGACATAATGCCTAGAGGTTAGCAAATATTCAGTA